AAAAATCATTTCACAGCATATTAGCATCTGCTCTAATGGCTAAGTGGGAAGATAAAATACATTTAATTATTCTGATTTTATTAAACAGTCCAAATTGTGGCTAGAGGAAAGTTTTGCAACTCATGGTTAAATGTTTCAGTTCTGTATGGATCTGGGATTACCTGTGATGATGAGGTCAGGTTCCAGAAACCAAAATTAAATAAATGTATGGAGAATTTAGTATTAGTTATAGTTAATAGATATTGTATTAAAACTGTTGTGTTTGAGATGTTCTGTCATTTTGTAATGTAACAAATGGTTTATGACCCGGTTCTTGTAGAAGGTTTGGCAGAATAAGGATTCTCTTATTCATTTTTGTGTTTGAATTGCCTGGGCTAGTATTCTGAACATAAATAAATCCAGAGTGATTAATGCCATAAAATTCATAATAAAAAGTATAAATTGGTATTTGATCAAAAGAATATTTATTATATAATAGAGAAACTGTAAGCTTATTTTGTTATGAAACGTATAATTGATTTATGTTATCTGAGCAGTAGTTTATATACATATTTCTACAAGCCAGATAGAGTTAATTTGATTTTTTTTTACAATAAAAAGACCAACAGTTATAACTTTTCAGCTGATTATAAAACATGGAATTTATTTTATTTTTTAAACTTATGAATCCCTAATTCTGAATGTGAGTTTGTAATTGTTCTAATGTTAGGTACTAAAATATGTGCAAGAGAAGCTATATTGACATGAATTTGACTTTGAGAACAGAGTAAGAATATTTTCTATGTATGTTACAGAAATATAACTTTCAGAGCAATCAAATCATATTTGAATCTATTAGCAAATTGTAGTTGGGAGAAGAAAAACCTGATTTTTTTAGTTTTTTTTTTTTTTTTAAGAATACACGATTCTTCTCTGATTACTTGCTTCCATTAAAAACACATTAGTAAATACTTTTATGTGTTATGGATTTCTAAAAAGACAGTGCCTATCTGTTTGAGTCCCTTCGTTTAGTGTTAGAGCAAATTGTTTTCAGATAGAGAAAAAGAAGGTTGTGTGTATGTGCGTGCGTGTGTGTGTGTGTGTACACACATGTGCACACGTGCAAATTTGGAATAATTTTATAGGTGCGAGAAATAGAATTTAGAAGACTTAATGCTGATTCTGTAAAAGCTACCTTGTAGAAAAATGGATTTATTGCTATATCTTATGTTATATAGTGAATAACTGAAATATAAAGAAAAAGTAAAATAAAAAGTATATGGCATGCAATTGGTTACTTTTATTCAACATTCATAATCTACAGCATAAATATTACAAGTGCAACTGAAGTTTAGCATATGCAGATTGCCATCTTTAATATTCTAAATCCAAATTAAGAGTATATTTGCATATAATGTATTACTTGTTAAAATGAAGACATTTGACATACCTAGTTAGAGTATAACTCGCAAGAACTAACTGTCCGATTTTGTGTTAGAAGTTCAGACAAGCAAAATATAGTTAAAGTAGTAGATCTTTTCAAATTGATCAAGTCATTTATATGTAAATGATTATATGCAAAATTTAATATCTTTTTAACCAGGACTCTGTGTTCATATGTGCTTTTATTACTTTTTTTTTTCCTTTTACTTTGCTTTTATCCTCTCTTTGACCTTTGCTTATGTAGGATACAACTGCATTCAGTTGATGGCGATCATGGAGCACGCTTATTATGCCAGTTTTGGTTACCAAATCACAAGCTTCTTTGCAGCTTCAAGGTAAAATGAAAGACTCATCATATCCTTTCTTATCTGAGCAAAAAAAATGAATTTTAATATTTTATATGATGTTTTGTAACCTATGTTAGGGTTAACAGATTTAATAGAAGCTAGGCATTTTTTTTACTAATATCATAGACTTTCTTCTCATCTAGCCTTAGAGATTGGGCCTGGTTTAACATTGGTTTTCATGAAATGATTTCTGATAATCATTTACCTGCCGAAATTGTCAGGCACTTGGAGGCCCAAGCTTTTGTCAGAAAACCATGTCTTATGGAAGCCATTATTGCCAGAGCTCACATCCTTTTATGATAAGAGATTGACTCATGTAGGAAGGTGACTGAGGAGTTAATTGGTAGGACATATGCTACCCACAGAAGGACTGTCCTTTTTCTGAGGCTGAAATCCAAGGAATGGGGCTCTCTGGACAGAAAGACACCAAGGGTCCTGTGTAGTTGAAGAGGTGCTGACCTGAATGACCACAAGTTGAACAAATCTAACACTGTCTCTGCTTCATGGAGCTTACACTATGGTAGCATATAGACATTAATCCAGTAATCATACACTTGATGATTTCTACCTATAAAAAAAAGCTAAGAAGAAAATGACAGGGTGCTGTCATAGCATGGAATCAGAGGGCTGATCTGGTTAGATTAGACATGAACTGATGTTGGAACTGAGATCTAAAACCTGATTAAAGGTTAACTGGGGAGAGCAGTAAAGTGGGAATAGGTAAATAGAATTCCAGTCATAAAAAAAAAAGAGATTCATTTAACTGTTTCTCTTTTTAGTAGTTCTCCTTGAATAAGTGATCATTACTTACTATCTCTAATTCCACCACTTTTCTTCTTTCTTGAACTCATTCCAATTAGCCTCTGTACCTCTTCACTGAAATTAAGGGTACTGATGGCCCTCACAGTGTCAAGTTGAACGATCATTTCTTAGGTTATTTGTACTGCCAACAGCATTTGGCACAATTGATTATTCCCATCTTCTTGGAACTCTTTTCTTTCCATGACTTTCAGAGTAGTATACCCTCCTGTTGTTTTCCAACCTCTCTTGTTGCTTCTTCCTTGTTTCCTTTACTCTTTCTGACCAGTAAAGATTGGATCTCCAAGTGCTCAACCCTTGGTTCCATTCTCTTCTGTGTCTGTGAAGCACCTTGGGAGTCTCATCAAGTCTCGTCCATTCTTATGTTTTCAATACACTTTATATGCCAACTCTGAAATGTAACTCTCCAGTCCTGACCTCTGTTGTGAACTTCAAACTGTCTATTTGACATTGGGATATCTAATACTTAACATGTCCCAAATTAAATTCCTGATCTTAACTTCCAACCTCCTCCTCCTGTCAACTTCCTTACTTCAATAAGTGACATCATCATCTCCCAGTTGTTCAAGCCAAAAACCTTTTCATTATACTTGACCCTCCTTTTCTGTCCCTCCCTATACTCTGTATCATAAAACCTAGCCACCTGTAACTTCAAAATGTATCCCAAATATGACTGCATCAACTGCTACCATCCTGGTCTCAGTTGCTGTCATCTCTTACCTCTATTATCACAAAAGCTCTTTAACTAGTCATTCTGTTCTCTTGTCCTCTATCCCTACCCTAGCCTCCTCTCCCTCTGTACACATGGACCACTTTCTGCACAGTGGCTAGAGTAGCCATTTTAAAATAAAAGTAAGATCATGTTACTCTCTTGCTTAGAATTATCTAATGATTCATCTCTTTCAGAATAAAAGCCTAAGTCTTAAATTGGTCTTTAAGACCCTATGTGATTTGGGTCTTGGCTGCCCCTCTGGTCTCATNACGGCAACCCACTGCAGCAGGGGCTGCAGCCTACACTGTCGCTGGCAACTCACAGCAGCCCAGCTCCAGGTTGAGCTGTTGATCAGCATCTTAGCTGTAGAAGGCAGTGTCATTGGCCCTCATGTGGGATCCGAACTGGGGCCCTGCTGCTCAGAGCTGGCATCTCAAGCCAGCTCTTAACCAACACACCACTCGGCCGGCCCTAATTAGGGTAATTTTTAAGGTTGTCTCATTGACAGGAGTTGTAGGTACCTTTGAACTCACTTTTCTGTCCTTTAAGTTATTGAAGCTTGTTGATAAGTGCTTGCCATTTAATAATTATGTAAGCATTTCACAGCTGTTGTGTTTTCTCTCAAGGTTAGGCTCAAAATATATCTTTACTCAATGATAAGGTATAAACCATTACATGATTACTCTTTTAAAATAGGTTCATTAACATGATTCTAAAAAGGATTTTTTTTTTCAAAAGAAAATTTGATGGATGTGGCCAATGCCTTTTATATGTGAAAACGGTTGCAGAGTATTTGACTGAGTTGATTCACCCTTTCATTTAACATGCTTAATCAGCTAGTGTCATCCCTGTATTTCTGTTCTAATTCTATGTGTAATTTTATATTCTGTAGTTTAAGCATTCCAGACCAAAGAAGCCAAGAGGTCTAAGAATTTATGAATCTCATGTGGGAATTTCTTCTCATGAAGGAAAAGTAGCCTCTTATAAACACTTTACATGTAATGTACTACCAAGAATCAAAGACCTTGGTAAGTAATAACTGTGATTTTTGTTCAGATAAAATTTTAATGAATCTGTTCTCTTATTAGAAAAGCTAATTACAAGTGTCTCTTTTTTGTGTGGAGATTAAATATGTAATAGAAATGCATTTTATTTTAGGCTTCTCAAATTGCCTTGTAATAGTGATAGCATAGAAAAGAGAAATGGGATGAGCATAAGAATTCAAGACATTATTCCAATTTCAATTTTAAGTAATGTGAATTGATGGCTTGCAAAGTTGTAGATAAATATGTAAGCATAATTACTTTTCTACAGGAGAGAACTTTTATCAATTTAAGTGTTCATTGATTAAAGTCTGTTCATTTTAGTCTGTTAGGGGAAAAAAATTACATTTGTAAGGTAACTGGAACTCATTTTATATCAGAGTCATTTGTGTGTGTGTGTGTGTGTTTGTGTGAGTGTGTGTGTGTGTGCTCACGCATGCACACACACACATATATAGCTCTTGTCTGGGTGACACATTTGACAAATATTTATGGTGCTTTTTTTGTGTGAGATGAATTGTTCTAGATGCTTGTATATGGGACTGTAAT